TTGTTATTTTACATATTTAGCAAAATTTACAAAGCGATAGAGATCATGAAATAACTAGAAAAGATAACTAATGATATTCATGAGCAATTCAGAAATTAAAACTAGAATTAGAAATATTGATTTTAATATCTCTAAAATGAGACATTAAATGTTTGAATTTCTAAACAAGATATTTATAAGAATCAGTCAAATAAATATATATATTTATAATTATAAAATGTAATAAATTTGATTTTAAATATTTGAATTATAGCATAAAGTACATCAAAATATATGATAATAAAGTCGCAATATTAATTTCATACGAAAGACTATTGATCTATTATTACAAATAAATAAGTGAAGTGAAAGCTTTATTTGATTAAAGCAGATCTCGGTGCTCAATATTTTAAAATGAATTTTAGTTTCTAATTCACGTAAAGTATACAAAACAACGCATCGATTTGTTGGTTTTGAAACAGAATCCTAAACTGAAACTGAAGTAGTTACGAACTAAATTAACAAGCAATTTAATATTATTACTTAGTATCTTAAACTACTGTGAAGAAACTAAATATGTAAGTAATAGTAGATAAGTAAATAAATCAATCTTATTTTTGAGAATCGATCTTGATGTTTAATAATTATGTAAATTCATTTTTTTGTTACTAGAAATTGTGCGATGTAGTTCATCGAATTTAATAACCTACTGCTAAATGTGAATAGGAAAAATGGTATAAACATTAGAAACAGTGAGATATTATAATGCTGAACAGAGTATGTCTTCGTTAAAAAAATTTTGTGGCCCTGAAAAGGGCCATTTGTATCAGATGCCAGATTACGATTATGCCTTCTTCTCGGTCTTCTTGGGTAGCAATACGGCTTGGATGTTCGGCAAAACACCGCCTTGAGCAATGGTCACACCGGACAACAGTTTGTTCAACTCCTCGTCATTGCGGATGGCGAGTTGCAGGTGACGAGGGATGATCCTAGTCTTCTTGTTATCACGAGCGGCATTACCAGCCAACTCCAAAACTTCAGCGGCCAGATATTCCATTACTGCAGCCAGGTAGACCGGTGCACCAGCGCCGACACGTTCAGCATAATTTCCTTTTCTCAGCAAACGATGGATACGACCCACGGGGAACTGCAATCCCGCCCTATTGGAACGAGACTTCGCCTTTCCCTTGACTTTGCCACCCTTGCCACGACCAGACATATTGCTCGATTAACGAATACGGTACAGGTATACTTTCTTCGAGAGAAGCGAGAGATTTGTGACGTTTCGCTGACCGAGCACTCCCTTTTATACCCCGCGAGGATAGCGCACTCCCCACCAATCGGCGCGCACAGCTGCTCTCCGACCTTCTGATTGGTGCGCTGTAGGTGACGTGGAATGGTATATATATGATAGTTTGGTTTGCGCTCCAACTCATTTTACCCGTGAATATCGAGAACGCTGTATCGTGGTTCTATCCGCAAACTTTCTGATTGTACGACAAAATGCCTCCTAAAGCCAGTGGCAAAGCCGTGAAGAAGGCCGGTAAGGCTCAAAAGAATATTAGCAAAACTGACAAGAAGAAAAAGCGTAAGAGGAAGGAGAGCTACGCCATTTACATCTACAAAGTATTGAAGCAAGTACATCCGGACACCGGAATCTCCAGCAAAGCTATGAGCATCATGAACAGCTTTGTCAACGATGTATTCGAGAGAATCGCCGCGGAAGCATCGAGATTAGCGCATTACAACAAGCGCTCAACGATCACCTCTCGGGAGATCCAAACGGCTGTGAGACTTCTGTTGCCCGGTGAATTGGCGAAGCACGCAGTCAGCGAAGGCACGAAAGCAGTAACCAAGTACACTAGTTCCAAGTAAATTGGAATTGACGACAAAAACGGCCCTTTTCAGGGCCAACAAAAATTCGAACGTTGACTTTTCTCTGGATTTCGTTTCTCTAAAATTTTATTCTGCACACAGAACATAAAGTATTTATATATCCTAAACTGATTTAATTTATATTCGCGAATTTAATGCCAAATATATGATTACCTAATACAAAAGTTCACTTATTTGATGCGTATCCTATCTATTAAAAATTAATTTTCTAATGTTTAGGATGCAAAATTGTTTTAAGTCTAAAAAATCGAAATGATACCCATGAAACAATTTTCATTTATTTTTATTTAATTTTTTATTCCTTTTTGTTTGTACATTTATGTCATAGTAAAATAAAACATAAAATACATTATAATTAAAATTAAAATTATATGTATTATATAAAATATCCTACTTGACATTCAACTAAAAATATTTATATTATAACTCACATTCAACAATATGAATCTAATATATAGGTGTTACATAATAGTTAATAACATTAAATTATAACGTAGATATTATACTTTTAGTTCGTGTCGACCGAGATGTTTTCGTTTATATTACAATAAAATTCTAGACATAAAATCTATAATAATTTTACATTTTTGCTATAAGTAATTCAGACAAATAGCATTATAATGTATATTTTCTATTTATATCGAGTTAAATTTAATCTTTTAATTATCAATAAATTGTCAAGTATATTTACTTCGTTTGTGAAAAACACGATATGTATTACAATTTTTTTATTCTAACGGATAAATTCAAGTTTCTCGCCTTATTTGTCGTCGTTACGACTGTTGCTGAGGGAAGAGAGAGCATGCCGTTCGATTCTAACATAGGATTGTTAGTCACGAATTGTAGGTCGACAGTATTTCTTTCTCCGGCAAGAAATAGCCGTGAAAGTAAAATTAACAAACTAACGACTGTATTTATAGATAGATGCAAGTTGAATTTTTATGTTCGACACTGCAAAGATTATGTACTTTCATACAAATGTTTGATTATCCAGACCGCAACTGTGCTGTTCTCGAAATAGATTTCGAACAATTAAATAATTGCGTAACGCACGCACGCAGAGTTATAGAATTGCGTGTTTCGCGAATATTCAAAGACATTCTCGACTTTTCAAGTCGAGAATGTCTTTGAATATTTCGACAACGCGTGACGTGGAACGTGGCGTGAAAACTATTGATAAAAAAGATACCGCATTGTGTTATCTCACAAGAAGTCTTACGTTGCAATCGAGTCGATGCATTTAACAATCGATTATAATGCGACAGAGAATAATATTTCATAAGTTCATTTTGCACAGGCAAGTGTCTTGATTCTTATCAACGCTCAATCAAATGCGTCTCGGAAAAACGTTTCGTTTATTTTTATTTTTATTTTCCAGTCGTACGGTTGCTTTTCGTCCTAACCTCTCAAAAATTTCTAAGTGTACAAGTTCAAATCGCGGTATGGCAACGGACACGAAATTCCTGTCGGATTCGAGAGTCGATTTAAGAGATATCTTCCGTTCCGCCGTGAAAGCGATGTCGCCGAACGAAATTATAAGGAGGAGAGTGAAACTCCGAGATAACGCTTTATACGTCGACGAGAGGAGTTTCCCGCTTAAAGGGGACGTTTATCTCATCGGATTCGGTAAGGCAGTTATGGGAATGGCTGTGGAGCTCGAGCGAGTGCTCGGCGACACTTTGAAGAAGGGCATTGTCAGCGTGCCGAGTATGTCGTGGGACGCTATGTGGGCCTTCGAAGATAAATCTAGCTTCCCTAAGTTGCACAACAGTAGGATAGACTATCGCGAAGGTGGCGTCAACAATCAACCTGATAACAGATCGTTGGACACCACACACGATATTATAGACCTGGTCGAAAAGTTGACCGAGACGGATACTCTGGTAGTATTAGTGTCAGGTGGAGGCTCCGCATTACTGTACATGCCGAGGCCCGTTCTGGATCAAAAAGATAAGTTGGAATTTTGTAAAAAGCTCCAAAACGCAGGTGCCGATATCACCGAGCTAAACACTGTGAGACAAAAGCTGTCTCTGGTAAAAGGCGGTGGTCTGGCACGTATGGCCTATCCTGCATCCATTATTACGCTAATACTATCCGATATTGTCGGTGATCCCATAGACTTGATCGCCAGTGGTCCTACTGTTTATAATCCGAGAACACCGGAGCATGTTGTTGCTATTTTAAAGAAGTATAACTTGTTTCAGTCACTTGAGGGTAATTTAAAGACTGTCATAACGTCCAAAGAGCCATTTAATGACAAACCGTTATTAAGTTCAGTTTCAACTAAAACTGCCACTAAACAGTTCAAACACGTAACAAATATAATTATAGGAAACAATACAATGGCTCTGGAAGCTGCAAAACTTGAAGCTTTGCGCAAAAAATTAACTCCAATAATCTTAAAGAATAATGTTACAGGAAGTGTACAAGATGTTAGTTCAGCATATGTTCATTTAACAAGTTTGATATGTCTCGTTTTGCTAAATGAGCTGGAGAGAAAAGAATTTTACGACAAAGTACGGACTATGCCAATACTTTCATTATCTATTGATAAAATCGACGAAATCTTTCATCATCTTATTGGCAATCTTGGTGGTATAGTTTTAATTGGAGGTGGAGAACCTACGGTTGTGGTAACAGGTCAAGGAAAAGGCGGTAGAAATCAGGAATTAGCTTTACGTTTTTCACTAGATTGGCTAGCAAAAATCAAAACTTATCCGCGACTTGTCGAATACGATGTGATGATGCTCAGTGCAGGTACTGATGGTCAAGATGGTCCTACTGATGCAGCAGGTGCATTTGGTTATCCTGCCATTGCGCCCGTAATGCACGATTTTTACGCAAAAATTAAATCTATGACTACCAAAAAAAATGCACAAGCGAAACAGGAAATAATGACAGACAGAAAAACGCAGGATTCGTACAGACGACAGCAAACGAGTAGATTTGTAACAGAATCTAATATTGAACAAAAAGGACGAGATTCCAATAGCACAATAGAAAAGTCTTCTCGAGAAGATGTTAATGAACATATCGATTTAGGATTAAAAATAATGGAAGTAGAACGCATGTTACCTGAAAATGCCTTACAAGAAAACGATACGTACAATTTTTACTCGCGCTTTAAGAAGGGGGCAGACTTAGTTAAAACGGGAAAAACTGGCACTAATGTTATGGATTTACATTTTATTTATATAAAAAAACGGCCATGCAAGTGTGAGATTAATTTCTCTGATAAACCAACATATGAAGAAGATATTTTGGACGTACATGATTTACACATTGACGCATTGACTATTGAAAAGTACAAGGCTGTGCTCCCTTAAAATTTGATAAAGATGAATTTTTACAAACTCCACCTTTAACTACTGAAACTAAAGCGAAAAAATCGTTTCTAAAAATTATTGATGAAAATTTTACAGATACGTGCTGTATTAAAAAACGTAAACTTAATTAAAAGTACATCAAGAATGTCTATAAAAAATCTTACGTTATATAATTATTGCATAATTGCGCTTTATAAAATAAATTACAATCAATATTTCATTTTGGAAGAAAATAGATAATTTATATTTTGTAAATACTGAAAACTTTTAAATATATAAAATATTTCAATTATATTTATGTATCAAGAAGGCACTGCTCAAAAATAAATAATCTTTTAGGCTACATTCCAAAACGTCCTCTCCAAAAAAAATTTTACTCGATAATATAATATTTGTACTATATGTAACATGTACTATATTTTGAGTAAAATTTTTCTCGAAGAGGACATTTTAGATTATGGCTTTAAATTATAATATTACTACATATCTATTTGCTTGAAGATATGACAATATATATTCACTATCATACATAGATATCTACAAAGATCATATAATATATATTTGTATATATGAATTATATTGTTTGTTGATTATATCAACATTTTTTCTTATAACGAAAAAATATAAAACTAATATTTCATAAAGGAATATATAATTACGTAGTAACATTTATATAATTAAACACAGTACACAACTTTGGTAATCTAATACTTTCTATTCCAATATTTTTATTTCATAGATATATTGTTTTTCTCTGTCAATTATTTTGATATAGATACAGAATTACTTTAATAAGGACTTTCAAAAGCTTCTTAAAATATTATTTGCTTGCTTATCTAAAGAGAAGAAAAAAATTTACTATATAAGTAGGATCTCTCTTCTACTATTGTTTACTAAGTGTCTGTGCATATAAATAAATATAAACTTTCTTTTATAACACGTTTATAAATTGTTATATAATATAATGATAAAGAGATTATTCATTTGTACATTACATTTCTTAGTCATTAGTGTGCATTTCAATCTAAAAATTTTAGATGCTAAAACTTTTTGTAATTATTAAGATTGCTGTTATTTATAAAAATTTTTAAATCAAAATATATATTTCGATATACCCTGACTTTTTTACTATAATTAAATTAGAGACTAGAGAGAAATGGAAAAATTAAATCCCAAATTTTTGGACGAAAAGCAGAAGATTGGCATAATCTTATTAACTATCTTATCTGCTAAAGATCCCAACTAAATAAATGATGTTTGACTAGCATATCACGAACTCCATCTTTTAAAGGCTGTGATTGTTCTTTTTTGGGCGGTAATTCCCAGTCGGGATTCAAGTTAAATGCAAATTGACTTAATATTCTTAACTCACATTTTATTTGCACCCAACCTGGACTATTTATGAAGCTCCACGGTTGATACCTAAACATTATATATACTATTATATATCATAACAGAAAATAGATATTATTAATAGTACACACAGATAATTTGTTTATACTTACCACTTTTGCACTACTTCTACACAGGAACATAAGACTTCGAGCCATAAATGAAGCACTTGTTCGTTTAAACCGAGACAAATGAGAGAACGTAATTTCACATCCATCTGAGCGTGTGCATTGTCGTGTGTTAAATTTACGGATTGGACACAGCGATATAATAACTGAAATATTTTCTTTATTATTCACTGAATGTAGAAAGCCTAAGAAAGAGACGTTAATGGTGTCAACTGATCACGTGATTCTGAGCAAAAATCACAAAAATTACATAGGTTGCATTCCGTTGCACGTATGATCATATTCTATCCTCTAAAGGATAAAATATCTTTATACGCATTATATAACACACAACGAAACGCAGTCGTAGGGTGCATTCCGAATTAAAGTGCAGAGATATCATTTTATTCTTTTTCGGTCTTTGGTGAATAACAAGGACAAATGATGCGCTTTGTACGTAATTCGGAACACAACTAGTTAACTACATAAAAAGAAGCATGTGATTAGTTGGCAGCTTTTTCTTAGGCTCTTTAATAAATATATACACAAGAAAAATGAATATAATTTGTAATACCTCTTCTGGTGTGAGAACCTTGCCATCTTCATCCAATCTGTATGTTTTGCACAGCACCAATCGACTATAAACAGAATTGAAGTCTTTTTCCACTTCTCTGTTAGAAGCTTCTTCTATAAATAACCACGGATGACACGGTCCACCCAAAAATGATGGTCTTTTCATTCCATGCTCTAAGACTGCTTTCACAGTGGGACACAATGTACCTCTTACTAAATCCGTAACAGCTTCGCTAACCGCATCATCTCCAGCGCATGTATATTGTTTACTACGTTCATCTAGCAATTCTACAAACTTAGCAGGAAACCATCCTAGAAATATATTATTAAACTAAAATATATTTTGAAAAAATTATCATTTAAAATAAGAAAATAAGATAATTCTTTAAAGATCTGTATAATTATCAGCATATACCTATTATAAAAAATAG